ATAAAAGGAAAAAGTTAGGCATACCTGATCTCTGAGAAACGGCAGACTCCTGTCTGAGACTCTTCCCAACCACCTGTAGATGAATGAGATAAGTATTGGTTCAAGTGTAATAATAACCAACTATGGACAAAGTTAGACTTCTTGAAGGAGGGGCAAACAAACTGGATGGATCCAACATCTTCTTAATCGCAACACTGGTACAAGCAGCTTCTCTCAAAACGACATACTCGAATCCATCGCAGGATACGAGTGTTACATATTTGCTTTGACCTGGTTGTGTTGTTGCCATGATTAGAGAGATTGAGGGTGATGAATGTTGTGTAGCAATTGGTGGGTTTCTTTGAAGTGGCGACGTGATATATTCCCAGGTTCTTTGAGGTTACCGTATTTGAATGTGAAGATTTTATTACTCTATCTGTACGAGTATACCTACCTAGCTGGCTATTCCAAGGTTAAGCGGGAAGGCGTCAGCCACGACAAGGCTGTGAATCTGCAACCAAAATGTCACCAGATTTTGAAAGGCTTATAATGATTGTTGTTGTTACCTAGGTATTGTTATTGTCGTTACTCTGATTGGTATTGTGTTTGCTTTTTTCCGTTTCGAACCTCACTCGCCTTTTCATGATGATTACCTACCTAGATAAGGTAAGGTAAGGCAAGAAGATCTCGACCACGCGACAACCTTCTAAATATGGGCTCGGCTACAACAAGGTTACTTTGTACTTAAAACTTTATATTCAGGTCAAGATCTGCTACATCCTACAAGTACAGCCTGCCTACTACCTACCTACTACCTACCTACTAGGTACAGACAGAGAGTCCAGACAGAGCCAATTCCGGGTTGCTAGATATACAGAGTCTAGACAGTGCTACTTCTACGTTACTTTCAACTTAGTAGATACCTACTTCAAAGTTCAAAAACGGGAGACAACTTGGTACGAAAACGCGAGTCCGAATCCGATATCAATTCATGATATGTGACGAGCAGGCCATCCATCTGATCCTTGTACTGGTTCAATTCGACATGCCTACCTAGCACCTAGGTAGTAGGTACAGATAAAACCTACGAACTACTCCAATTCCGCAGCAGTCTATGCATGCACTGCGAGATGAAGGTATATATTCTTGGGATACCATACCTAATGGCCAGGATTCCCACAATGGACAAGGTAGTATTCACCGACGAATTGGGAATTGAAGGCGAGTCAATTGCCCGATCCAAGTCCAAGGTTGTATAAACACGCGTATCCGGTCCAATCCAGTTACATGTTCACTCACTCCTCTTCAACAATCTCTTCCTGCTTTGGTTCGCGACTCACGAGTTAATCCGACAAACTCTAGGACAAGAAGTTCCCCCATTTTACCATGTGATTACCTAACCAACTCTACCTTAATCATCCAATAATGGAGTGGATAATGTTCAGTGCTCCGGATTGCCGAGGAAGCCTGGCAATCTCCTTGGGTTCCCGCTCATATTATTTCCCTATACGATGTACACACCGACACCATCAACACGGGCGAATTTGGACTCCTCAACATGAGACGCTTGTTGCTTGCAACAAACCTTTGATTCCTTTATTTGACTTTTCCATCGGTGTTGTGGAACATGTGCTGTACCTGATATACCGGTATTCCATAGTCCGTACACTCTCCGTACACTTTACATACATGTACTCTGTCCTGAGTCCTCTTTTCCCCCTTTTCAAGTTGCAAGGCACACGAGTAACCACTTATCATATGTAAGAACGTTGGGAAATCGCCATGGACTAGGTATAGTTCCTATAAAGTATGTATGTACTTACTTTGGTAGCATGTCCATTCAAACCCGGTGTCCACTCACTTCATCGGATGTACACAAGCGCAGCCCAAATAAGTCACAACAGGGAATTTTGGAAAATGAACATGTAGGTACATCGAATGGTTTGAAGGGGGTTGATATCTTATGGAAATTGATCCAATGGGCAACATTGCCATCAATGCCATGCATTTCTTTGATTTGCTTTAAGCATTATTTTAGAATCAGTCTAATCTATATTTTGACATAATTGTGGACGTCATAAACGCTACTATATCCCAGTCTTTGCTAACTTTCCTTAGGGCTCTATGGGCCGCGGTCTAAAGTACTTCCTTAATTGCATTTCTTTTTTTATTTTCATTTCAATCCCTATCTTCCCTTTTCATTCTCTATACATCTTCATTTTTGATACCTGCTTCCTAGTAATCATGGCGGGTGTCTTTGACGCCGTTGGGCGTTTTTTCCTTCACATATACAGAACTCTACTCAATAGGTAGGCGAATCAAATTCTGGGAAAACCTCTACTTTTCAGTATGATCTGACGAGAAAAATACTAACATGTGTGTAGACATTCATTTTTTGGTTTACTTAGACATATTTTAATCAACATGACTTTTATTCTCATATGGATAACTACTTTCAAAAATGGTAAATTCAGATTTACCCTCAATTGATACCTTTCCATGCTAATTCGATTCCCCAAGCATGGCGAATCGATTCCTCAATCCGGCCATTAATTGATGTTAACTACCTCGAAACATTGGATAGAAGAGTTTTTGGGTTTTCAATGTTCGGTCTTGCATCACAATTCACCTGTTCGGTTATTGGAATACTTTGGATGTATACACTCACACGAAAGAAGATATCGATAATCGCTGGACTACCTCCTCTTCTCCTCAATATCCTCTACGCACTTTCCCATAACCTCTCCGAACCCCTTGATGTTTTCGCTTGGCTATCATATGGTGTTATTCACTTCATCTCTCCCTTCTTGGCCGCATTTTGGCTTTGGCTATTTGCACCCCCTGGAGTTGTATCAACGTTCGCCTGGTCCTTTGGTATTCAAAACTGTCTAGGAATCATGACCCATCTATCCTTCCCCTCGGCTGCTCCTTGGTATGGCGACCAATACGGCTATCCTCTCCCACCTGGAAACTACAGTATGCCCGGTTCCGCCGCTGGCCTCGTGCGCGTCGACAAAGTTCTCGGAACCCACATCTACGCCAATGCATTCAAAGCCTCTCCCTTGGTTTTCGGCGCATTTCCTTCCCTACATGGAGCATTCAGCTGCTGCTGTTTCTTCTTTGTAGGCCGCTACTCCAGAAAAGGAACTTTTATACTCGGTTTTTACGTATTATGGCAATGGTTTGCGACAATGTATTTGCGTCACCATTGGCGGATTGATCTTTTGGGTGGACTCGCTTATAGTGCATTTGCATTTTCGCTTTTCTACCGCAGTTTGCAGAAAATCGACAGGGCGTATGCGACGGGAGTTAGTGGGGGAAATGGCTGGCAAAGACTTTGGGAGGGAACGAGGTTGCAGTATTGGTTTGATAGGAGACCCGCGCAGCAGGGTTATGAGGTGCTCTTGGAAGAACAGGAATACAATAAGGAAGCAAGGGGAGAGGATAGGGAAATCGACAGTCCGGTATCATCTCGAGAAGATTTGGAGGGTGCGTGGGTGAGGGACGAGGGGGTTACTTGGACGGTTAGAGATACGGAAAAGAGGTCGAGGTAGAGTGGGTGGGGTGATATCTGCAAGAGATAATCTTTCCGTGTAGGAGATTGCATGGAAAGAAGAATTGCAGAAGTACAACAGATGAAGGAGCAGCATTAATATGTGCATGCAGGGCGTTGGAAACTGGAATTGGCATTTAATACATAGGTACCTAACGGCTGTGCATGTAAATGATATGATCAGGAGTATATAAAACGAGCATCAGTAGGTATCAGATGAATATACGAGAGTACCGATAGGAGTATAAATACATAAAATAGGTATATAGAAATAAACTGGATAATAAATAAATATTACAACTGGTATTTCCTGAATCTACTCTATTTACACTTGTATTCTTACATCCCCTCCCTCACCCCAGATACTTGTCTACCTTCATAATAGATACCTACCTACCTACCTGCCTAGTAGGTAGTACATCCACATCTAGATATTACTCACATTTTTATATAGGTATCTAGATAAGTACTACCCATATTCATTATATCTTATCTACTATTCATTCCGAATATATATAACCTTACATGCCATATCATGATAGAATAGAAAAATATTTATAATTAATTTATCATTATCTCCCATCTCCCATCTCCCATCCCCCATCTCCCATCTCCCATCTCCCATCTCCCATCTCCCATCTCCCATCTCCCATCTCCCATCTCCCATCTCCCATCTCCCATCTCCCATCTCCCATCTCCCATCTCCCATCTCCCATCTCCCATCTCCCATCTCCCATCTCGTATCCCATATCCCATCTCGTATCCCATATCCCATCTCATTTTTCCATCTAAAACATCCATAGCATCTCATCTCATAACATAGCATCTACTCTCTCCATCCCATCTCCTCATACTATCCCCAAAGGTTAATACGCTCCTTCTCCTCCTTCTTCCCTCTCTCCCCCCCTCCTCACCCTTTTATTATCCCCCCTCAGAACAGTTAACTAGATAAGTAGCTCCTATCTATTAATACGGAGTGAATAAACACTAAGTATCCAATGCCTACCTAGTATTGACTACCTATCATGTAATAGTAAAGGAATGAATGCATATATGATTTGCATAAACAACAAGTATCAAGTCTACAAGAGATTCATAGGAACCTACAGTATTGGGTAGTCACTCCGAGTAAGGTCACGAATCCACAATCATCTCTTCACTTCACTTCACTTCACACGCAATTTTAATCAAGAAAAGATAAGTCGTTACTTTTATTTCATATTCATCCATTCTTTCCTTCAATGTGCGTCCATTTAGCAATTCGATAAAATTCCATCCCATAAACGAACCAAAGAATCCACTATGTGTATACCCTGACTCTCACCAAATAACTCTGATGAATCGAGCAAAAGATATCCATATAAGTCCTTTCGTATCATCTGAGAACTCCTAGTATAGTATCTCTGCTTTGTTGAAATGAAGTTGAATGAAATGAATGTCGAGAGTCATTTGTCATAAAGGGAATCATCTAAGCGACCTCGGTGATCTTAGCAGCTGGCGCTTCGGAGGCTTCCTCCTCTCCTTCAAGTGCTGGCATATCGTCGTCATCCTCATCATCATCGCCCTCATCATCATCGCCCATTCCACCCATTCCTGGCATGCCAGCTCCTCCGAGTTTCGAGAAATCAATACCACCGAAATCTCCACCGGCTCCTCCCATCATGTCTCCCATTCCTGGCATTCCACCTAAAGAATCATCTGTTAGTTTATTGTCCAGCCTTATGTTCAATCGAATGCAAAAAACTTACCCATGCCACCCATCTGGCTCAAATCCTCCTCAGGAGCCTCATCTTGCTCATCCTCATCAACCCACTTATCGAAATCGGTCTTCAAGTAATGAACCTTCTTGGAATCCTTCAATAATCTAGGCCAGAACTCCTCCTTCAATTCCTTCTTTCTCAAGACGAATTGAGTGTTTTTCTGGGTGTGATTGTACTTGGAAGCACTCTCATCGATCTCTTCGTAGAATTCCAAGGTAACTGCATATGCACGCTTGAGAGACTCGGAGTAGCCGGAGTATGTAAGAGATTGGGACTTGAGATCGATCTTTGGTTCCTTGACATCTGGAACGCTGATGGTTAAGTAGATGAAATTCTTTTCGGCTTCGGTCTTGTTGGATCTTTGAGCCCAGAGAACTATTTGTGAAATTGATTAGTGAGATATTCAGATATCGAGTATACATATGTGTATATATCTCGGTGTATGGGTGGTATCAAGTAAATAGCTCTGAGCAGTTACTGGCTCTTGCTTGTGAATTTTGAGGCTTCAGCCTGCAGTACCCCTCATTGAAAAAGTAAATGTGGGATGCAACAGATTGACCTCAAAAACATAGCTAGCCACATAAACCACCGAAGACTGAGATTCTTTGAAATGGCACAAACTCCAAGCAAAAGCTGAAGTGACAAGAAAGAACTGAGTTCTAGGTTGTGACAGTAGAGAAGCTCGATAACCTCTTTATCGCAACACTCGTAAGAAAGAAAAGAGCTAACAAAGCTTACCTTCAGGTGTTGATTCAGTCATTGTGATTGAAAGTCTTTTTGTATGAAAAATGAACTAGAAGATGTCGTTGATGCGAAAATTGAATTGGGGTATCAAGCAAAAGGTTTGTACAGAGTTGGTATTGTTGTTGTTGTAGAAGAGAGAAATTATTGAGGGGAGGTTAAAGAAAGGATTGGCGGACTTTCTATTTGTTACTTCTTGCTGTGTGCAGACAAACGAGGCTGGAGCCAGCTAGATGTATGGAACCTGCGAGAACATTGGGGAAAGTACAATTGGAATGGTAAGTGAGTGGTAGGTAGGGAGAGAGTAACAATAAGCATTCTTTGATTTACGGTACATTTACAAGACATGATGTAATTATAATTAATTTCCTATTATAGCCTTTTGCAAAGATATATGTCTTAATTTACTATTCTGTTCAATTTATTAATGGAAGTCTGTAAATAATTAAATCAAATAAGATAAATGAAGGGTTTTTCTTTCTTTTCTTCCTTCTTAATTATTAATGAGAACTTAACCCCACGTTGTAGTTGCGGCTCCTGTAGAAAAGTAGAAAAGCGTGAAAAGGCAACGTCACTAACCGCAGACATCTGATTGAGCTTGGACCTAAACCCCAAACTAATACTGTACTACTGGTATACTACCATGGACATGTATCAAACTACATCGTATCAATCACCATCACTTATCGGCACTCTTCCACTTATCACACTTATTACTACTCGTAGGTACCTACAATAATTGAACCTTCGACTCAGATTAGAACCATTTAATCTAATACGATCAAATTATCAAAGAAGCCGTCTTCAACCTTCAATTTCTCTCTTCAGTAACACGGCTACAAACCTCCAATCCATTCTGGTGGTAAATCGTATTCAAAACACCCATCATGGAATCCATAAGAGCCGTCTTCTTCAAACCCGATCCTCAAGTTCAAGTGCGTATATTCCCCATACCATACCATACCATACCATACCATATCAATACCATGCATACCCATTCTCATGTTTCTCTAATCCATCTATCTCCCCTCATCTAATCCTCCCTCAGGTCCGCAAATGTAACAATCTCATCCGCCAAAACACCCGCAAACTCGACCGAGACATCGCCGCTCTCAAAGCCGTCGAAAACAAAACCCGCAACCTAATCATCGCCGCCAACAAACGTGCCCAACGCAATCCCTCTCAAGCCAAACAAGCCGCCCAAGAAACTCGAATTTTCGCGCGCGAATTAATCCGCACCCGAAATACCTCCCGCAGACTCGTCACGTCGAAAGCGCAATTGCAGAGTGTGAATATGCAAGTTAATGAAGCGTTTGCGGTGAGGAAGATCGAGGGCAGTATTAAGGCGAGTGTGGGTATCATGAAGGATGTTAATAGTTTGGTGCGATTACCGGAGTTGATGGGGACGATGAGGGAACTGAGTCAGGAATTGGTAAAAGCGGGGATTATTGAGGAGATGGTTGGGGATATGATGCCTGATCAGTTGGAAGAGGAGGATGAAGAGGCGGAGGAAGAGGTTGATAAGGTACTTGGAGAGATATTGCAGGATAGAATGTCTAAAGTGGGAGCGACGCCAAATTTGCCGGCAGCGCCTGTACAAGAGGAAGTTGCTGCGGAAGAGGAAGACGAGGATGCCGAGGCTATGTTGAATCAAATGAGAGGAAGATTACAAGCTTTGAAGAGTTAGGTGAGGAAGACATAGAAACTGGGTTTTGTATACCTCATTTGGAGTCTGGCTGGAGTTCGGATTGGAGTTCTGGTTGGATTTGTATATGCTTAGAGGCATTTTTCCGCTGGTCTTAGCATGGATCACTACAGAAGGGTTGTTCAGAAATCCTTCCTGGTCTATTACGTTATGCATGTTTACAATACACTACATGACAATAGATATTTCTCCAAGATTTAATTCAAGATGAGTAGAGCGAAGAGGTTAAAGGTGGGTGGCATGACGTCGTCGATATTCATTTCTATTGCGATATTACATATCATATGGTTATACCCTTGAGGTGCGCAAGCAAGCAAGCAATCAATGAATACTAGATAAAATATGATTCCTATTCTTAAGCATACTATTTCCCTCGTAAAGTTATTACTCAAATCTCCCTAGCGATAATTCATTCCAAGATTAGAAGAAGATCAAGGGTAGAAGTAAACATGATATCCAGTATCCATTCATATCATCAACCCTATTATCGAATTCGGTCCATTCGTCATTCTCTTCGATTCCCATTGTCAATTCCATATCCAAGCCAAAGAAACAACAGAAGGAAAAATATATAACTCCAACTTTCCTTCCTCTCACATTCACGAATATCGAAATTCAAATCCAAATAGATAGGCCGTTATTTTCATCTCTTCTCAATCTTCTCGTCTCATATCATCTCGTCTTGTCAATATACCCCTGTGTCAACAGCTCGTCCTTTATCCTCCATTGGGTTGAGCTTTTCTTTCCTTGTGTCCACGCGTCGAAATACCAAATGCAAAGTAAGAGGAAAAGGTATCTGGGTAAGTCCCACTAGATAGTAGGAACTGACAGTCAATCAACCCCGAACAGAGGAGGATATAAGGTTATGGGAAGATCCATCCATAAAATGATAGATTCGCCAAGCAAACACTCCGAAGAAAAGCCTCGGAAAAGGAAAAGGAAAAGGGGGATAGAGCAGAAACTGCAAGGCAGTAAAAAAACCCTACGGACAACATCTAAAACCCCGGATGTACAGGTGCATCAAGTAATTGCAATTCCTCCAGATATCCCTGTTCCTCTTGCATATTCCTGATAAAGCCCTCCTCACCAGCCTCACCCCACCACCCTCTCTCAACAACCTCCTTTTTCCTCTGCCAAATCTCACTCGCTACGCCTTTAACCTGTCCAAATGCTCTTCCGGCACTAGGCCAGACTTGCCATAAAGTTTTCAGAGCCCCAGTATTCAATTTCAATTGTTGTTTCAAATCGTCATCATTGAGAGTAGGGTAGAGAACAGACCAACAAGAGAGATGGACTACAGAGGCAAGAGTTACGACGCAGGTGAAGAAATGTGTGTGGCGGATTAAGGGAACGGGGAGAGTAATGAGTTTGGAGATTGATTGGGCGGCAGTAACGGTTTTGGAGGCGTGGATGTTGTAGTTTGCACCAGGCATGATAGGGTGGTGAGGGGCACAGGAGGTTATGGGAGTAGTGATGCTACTATCTAATTCCGAGAGCTCACGGTGGAGAACGATAGTCGCGCTAACAGGATGAGAGTTAGTTCATGTGGGAAGAACCGAAGCGAAGTTGTGGAAAGGAAAGTGGTAAAAGGTTAGAGGCTAATAGGGTTTGCCGGAAGATAGATAAGTGGAAAACATACGCTTCTGTAATCATATTTGCTTGGAACAGCATCTCATCAAGCTTGCCATCACCACTGACGAGTTGTCTCTTGTTATCTGGTAGATGTAAACGAAAGTTTACAAGATACGCATCAAGACGATCGACGGCGGAACTGTCAGGATGCGGATTGATCATCTTTCCCGTCAATAGTCGACCTAAGTTTCGGATCGCAGAGATACGATATGTGAAAGAGGAGTAGCTGTAATCACGATGTTCAAAATCCTCATCGTCAAAGTCTGTAAGGAAATGAGGGGGTGGAATATTCTGATTTTTGTTAGCATGGTAATTTTGAAGGGTAGGTATGAAGGGAAATTCTCGGTTATCAATTAGGGAGAACTTACTCCATTAATATATTCGCTCTCTTCACATGGAAGTCCAACTTCTGCGGGTATGTCCTTCATGGGAAAGAAACTCTTTTGGTGAACGCCAGCAATCATCCCATCAACCACAAACATTTCCCACCAAGTACGACGCCAACTCTCTTCCAAACTAGACCAGCCATTTCCATGCATAGAAGCAAAATCTCTTTTGTTCATTCCCAATTGCAATGCCAACTCTTGAGCGTCAGTAAGGACTTCCAAGGCCTTCTCTTGATATGTGTAACCATCAAGTCCAATGCAAAGAATAAGCATTGCCTGAACCTTGAATGCATCCTTGGGACAATCTGGACGATAAATTGCTCGTTCAGCTTCTAGACATAGTGCCGTAGTAGGTGCTTGATCTATGAAGAATGACCCCACATATCTCATAGCAGCTTCTAAATGCTCCAGTTGTTTTTTCTCCTTGAGCAATCTAAGCAGATTATCTCTGGGGAGAAGGAATGGATGTGCGGGCCAAAAATGATAATAAAATGCTTCGATACATTTTTGTCGAAGGTCTAATCCGTTGTATTGAGGTTTATTGACGTCTAAAACCGTTTGATCTCTATTAATAACATAAGACGGAGGATTTGCCGGACCGAACGGTAGCGTCTGTAGTCTATTGTCGGGAGGTGTAGCTAATCCACTGGGAATGTTGACCGAATTACCGGTGGTATTGATGGTTGTAGATGATGTCCCTGGTCGAACTAATGGACAAGCTCTGGAATTGTTCGATTGAGTTGACGTCGATGCCGCCGTCTTGTTTTGAGCCCCATTACGTCTTGGACCCTTAAAGCCTCGACGACTTCTCACGTAGACACATTCATATTCATTAGTAGAGCATCTAGAACATGGACTAAAGCCATCGCATTTGAGGTGCTTGGAGCGACAAGCGACGCATGCTGACGGGACTGTAATCCGGTCCTTTTGATGGTCCGGAACGACTGCTAACTGTCTTTCGCCTTGTTTCTCAGGCACATGATCGGAAGTTGGTGATAGTGATGAAGCATTACTCGTCGAAGGCGTTTGGATGGGAGAAATGGAATCCATAGCTCTAGTGGTCAGATTTGATGTGGATGTGGATGAATTGCTCGCCGACCAAAACATATGAGGCACAGAAGTAGAGGTCTGCTGCATTGGAAAGTCAATACTGCAACCCTGGTACAAAACGTCGAATGATTGATGGATATTCTATCCTTGTACTACGATATTGGATAGGAAATGCTGACTACCGTAGTAAATGTGGTACCTAGCGAGGTCCCCGATGAGCCCGAATAGATTGAGTACAAGAAGGTT